TAATGTATGAATAATTAATATAAGAAGCTGATAATATGAGATCTCAACTATCTTTACGTGAATAATAAGCTCTAACATATATACCCAATTTCTTTTTCCAAAAATACATACATGACGCACGACCAAGCTTTCGAAATCCACAATCGGCACGACGATCTTCATCAGCGGCTACTTCCGTTCATCTTTCAATCGGTAACCTTCAAAATCTCTATTATTAGACACTAAAATTTTTATAAATAACTAAATAAAATGTCAATATTCAATTCGTATCATCATGATTGGGTTAGGAAGATTGATAGGTCTACATATCACAAAAAAAGGGGAATAGAAAAGTCAACGTGGACCACATGCTAGTGGTAAACCTAAGAAATTTACTTTGAATAATTACATGCTTCAACAACAAATATTATATTTTGAATACGTAATTTTTCTTGAATAAAAAGCTTTTTAATTAAGCATCTCAACAACAACACATTCATGTAAAAAGACAAAGGTATGGATTTTTCCATTAATAACAGTAATTGTTCGATTTTTATTTTTAAATGTGAAGGTTAGATGAGAAAAACGAGCAAGACTTTGACTTTCTTACCTTAGAAGAGAATTATTCAATTGTTTGTTTAACGAAGCTATATTTTAGACTTTTGATTATGTTAAGACCATATGATAACTCCACGTTTAAATTTGAATTGGTTATGATTATGTTAAACTTGAATTGATTATGATTCAAAATTGAAATTTGAATTGATTATGATTCAAATTGTATTAAAATTGATTTTGATTATGTTAACTTTTTGATTTAAACTTAAATGTGATGTTTGATTGTGTTAAAATTGATTGAACATAGAGAATTGATTCATCAAGTTCTACGGTACAAAATGAAGAACTCTATTTGGCTAACTCCATATTTGAATTGTATGATGAATTACTAAAGAGTGTAAGAGATTTTTATTATGCTAACGGATATGGAGTATTTATTCGAGATTCAAGTAAAGATAAATATGTCACATTACAATGTGATCGAGGCGGTTTCTATCGAGATAGAATGTGTATTGGAGATAAAAGGAAGAAGAACACTCGATCTCGTTTGATTAACTGCCCCTTCCAAATTGTAGGTAAAAAAGGAAATGATGGTGTTGGGGTACTTAAGGCAAAAAACTTGACTCACAACCATGAACCATCTATTGATATCTCTGGGCACCCATCATTTCGTCGATTATCACCGAATGATGTACAAAGTGTTAAAAATATGACGCTTTCTCGCATACCCCTAAGGCAAATTATTTCTTCTTTGCGTCAAGGAAACCCAAACCTTCCGGCAGTCTCTCGAACCATATACAATCTGAAGGCGAAAATCCGCAAGGAGAACTTGGGCAATCGATCAATGGCTAGTGCTTTTTTTGAAGAGTTTGAAAAAGAGGGTTTTATCTATGATATTTTACATAACTCAATAGGGCATATAACCCATTTGTTTATTGCACATCATTTGTCAACTAAATTGGCAAAATCTTTCTCTAATATCTTTATAATGGATTGTACATATAAAACAAACAAATATAACATGCCGCTCCTTGACATCATTGGGGTTTCATGTTTTAATACATCTTTTTATTCTGGATTTGTATTTCTTGAGAGGGAGGATGAAGATAGTTATATTTGGGCATAAAGTGTGTTTAAGAAGACTCTTGAAAACCGTGAACCGTCTGTGATTATGTCTGACAGAGAGTTGACATTAATGAATGCCATAAATATGGTATTTCCGAACACGACAAACCTTTTGTGTATTTGGCATATTGAAAAGAATGTGTTGGCAAATTGCAAGAAGCATTTTGCACATATAGAAGAGTTTAATCTATTTATGTCAAGTTGGAATAATGTAGCATATTCAACAACTACAACTATTTTTGAGCATAACTAGGGTGAATTTGAGTTGTTTTATCAGACGAAGAAAGTTGTAATTGAGTACATAAAAAACACATGGTTGCTTTGAAAGGAAAAGTTTGTTAGTGCATGGACAGAAAAATATTTGCATTTTGGTAATCGGTCATCATCAAGGGCTAAAGGTGCTCATGCCAAACTGAAACAATATCTACAAGTATCTATAGGTGGCTTTCAAGATGTTACAAAAAAGATTTTCCTTGCAATCAAACATGAATTCAATGAGATTAAAGTGAAACTCGCAGATAAAAGAATCCAAGTTCTTCATAATTGTGATGCACCTGTTTTTAGAGAGATTTTGTGTCATGTGTCTCATTTTGCATTAGAGGAGATACATATGCAATATGAAAAAATAAAAACTGGTATTTACAAAGCTTATAGTTTTACATTTGCACAACATTATTTTTTACATTAACCTGTATTATATTTGATTTTTTAGGTACAATGACTTCTTGTACTGGTCATTTTATGGCAACCACGGCTCTTCCTTGTGCTCACAAGATAAACCATTTAGAATGAATGACACTTTCATTGGATCTTATTCATCCATAGTGGAGGATTGATACGTTGTGTTTGAATTCAGAAGATGGTTTACATAATGATGGAGCCAAGGAATTTGATGAGTTGCTTAGTGAGTTGTCTTCAAGATACCAAATGTGGCCTCAAAGTAAGAAAGAATTTGCTAATTCTATGATTACTAAACTTTTGATCTGATACGTTTTTTGAGCCTATGATTCGTCGACCAAAGGGTAGACCTCCAAAATCAAAAAAGAAAAGAGAAATAAATTCTAGCGTACGAGACCCTTATTCATCGATTACTTTATTAATATGTTTATTTGTAATATTATATTTGTTTTTCTTATTATTTATATACTATACGTTTTATATATGATTAATATAGCTTATTTAATTATCAACTTATTTCCTTAAGCTTTTTCATTTATGAACATGTTGATAAGGCAATAAGAATCTTTATCAACTCTTCGATTTGTGATCTAATATTTTTTTTTTCAAAATAATTTGTTGTTTAACAAAAAAATTGTTAATTGTTAATTAATTCTGTTATAAACTCTAATTAACATGAAAAAACCATCCCACTATTGACCATTAAGTTAAAACTTTTAGTATATGTTATAAGATTGAAACCAAAATAAACCTATTTCTATGGTTTTGTTTCGAAGTATTAGTTTCGGCCCCTCTAATTCTAATGTTTGTGTTGCGCACCTAATCTTGACAATTAAGTCCTCTTTACAATTTAGTAATGTTAGTATTGTACACATGTTTTACAAGTGACCATTGCATCATAATTACTTTATTTTACAAGAGACCAATGCATAATAATGGTTACATAACTACTCTATGTAGTATTGATAGCATGCTGATTTTTTTTATTTATAATTACAAATATGCAAAAGAAATTATTTCAAGAGCCGTTTAAAAAAAATCCAAGCTTTTGAATTTAAAAAATTCATCATATTAATTGGAAACTAAATGTGTTGAACGTATAAAGGATATATAGTTTGGGAAGATTTTCCTCTCTCTTCATTATCTTAAATCTTAAATTAAAATATAAAATAAACTAAATCCTAATTCTAATAAATAAGTACAACTCTGCCACGTGTCACTCTCTAAGGACCCCTTAAAATCGAGTTTTCCCGCTCATTTATTCATCTATATTTACGTAAATGTCATTCAATCCAAATTAAATCAAAGTTCAAACTGATGCAAAAAATCCGGAAATTTGAGCAGTCAACTGCATTCAAAATATTCAACCATTATTTTTAAATGAATAAAAATTATGGAAATAATTTGAAAAAATATGTTAATCAAAAATCAGATTCGAAATTCACGATTAAATTTGAAAGTTTGTTTATTTTGATTGCAAATTAAATATATTGCAATCATTAAATCCCTAAAAATCTGCAGTATTCTTCTCAGCAAACGTAAATACCATTTATACAGTTATTTTGTTTTTACCATTCTGCTCCATAACAATTCTGCTTCATAGAAACCACAGCAAACGTATTCTTCTTCATTCTTCTTGATTCTGCAACGCTTCAATAATTAAATATCAGGTTAGTGTATTCAAATATCAAAATTACAAATATTTCTATTCCCTTCATGGTCTTATTTATCGGTATCTATCACGTTCTCATTGTATGATTGCTATTCTTCTTCTTCTTTTTTGTAATTCTTCTTAATCGTCTACTTCTTCTACCTTTTCAGTTTAAAAGACGAAAAACTAATGAACATGACAAGTTCATTTTCTTTAAAAAAATAAAAAATAGTTTTTTTCAGATCTGAAACTTTACTATTACATTATTTTTTTTTTGTTTTGGTGTTACATTTACTTTGATTTGCTGTTACATTAAATCTAATTTATGATGTCAATTATTTTTACTTTGTCTATTTACGTATTAATGTAGATGTATACGAAAAAACTAATGAACATGAGAACTATTTTTTCTTTAACATGATTGTTGTGATCCAGCTTCAAGTTCATTACTACAAATTAGTGAATTAACCCATAATTCTGACATGATATGCCAAACCATTGGAGTTGACCTACAAAGTTATTAAAATTCTAAATGGTCAGTCTTGCACAGTAACTTTTGTTTTGATGGTATGAAATTTTAAAATTTGTTTGTATTTATCTAAATACAATCTCAATAAAATGATTAATAATAGCATACAAGTTACCCTACGTATAAACAAGGGTCTGTAAGAAATCTACTCATTTGGTTTACACATTAAAAAATATATATTACTTACTTTAAGAAAAAATTATTAGGTGCTGATTTATAATTTTTCTGTTTTAATTGTTAGTTAGGATGTTCTTTACGTTAGTTGCTGATTTATAAATTATTAGGTGCTGATTTATAATTTTTCTGTTTTAATTGTTAGTTAGGTTGCTAATTTTCCTTACAATTCTATATGGTTTAAATTTTCTTGCAGAAAATGAATATAGGAAATAAGGTTTACCTAAATAACATTGACCAGATAGATGAAAAATTACATATCAAGGTTCGGGTTTTGTCAGAAATAATAAAGTTTGTTCGATTGAAATGATCCTGATGGACGAGGAGGTTTGTTGTATTTCATATATTTTTTATTCATCATTCAATATTAGACATGTTTCATGAAAATAATAATTTTTTGTTTTTTTTTAACAGGGGACACAATACCATGCTCGTGTCTTCAATCAGAATTTCTCCAGATTTCGTCATCTTTTAAAGGAAGATGAAAGTTATATAGTTATAAAACCCAATATGGCTGCTGTTACTAATGGTTTTAGTTATACAGGTCATAAACAGACCTTAACTTTGGATTGGAAAAGCATCCTAAAAAAATGTGATGATTTCTCGGGTCCGGTCAATGGATTTATGTTTGTTGACTTTAATTCTATCATAGAACAAACATGCCCAAGAGACACATTCTTTGGTTAGTTATAAAATATTAATAAAATCATTTTTTATCATTTGTTTTCTTGGTTATAAATTTTATTATTTAAATATTATGATTTTAATTCAACAGTTTATGTTGTGTTATCTGTTGTGTAGATGTTATTGGACATATCGTGTCATTTAGGCCTCTTGAAACTTCAAATCCAGTACCATCCAAGCATTATATAAAACTCACTCTTAGCAACCTAGAGTGAGATTATATTTTATTATTTATTTATTATTTATTATCTTTAATTAATCACAAATTAATATTAATATACGATTTTTTGGTTTATTTAGTTCTGTACATCTGAAGGTTACTATTTTTGGAAGTCAAGCATATCAAATTTCAGAATACCTAAAAAATAACCCGACGGTTAATTGTGTTGTTATCGTGATGCAGTTTTTGAAGCTAAACATTTGGAATGGTTTGTATTCACTCTTTATATATAGATGTTTATAATTACTGTTTTTATATAATTTTTATTAATTGGATATACATTTTTTACAGGTATTGGTGAAGCTAAAAGTCATTTTGAAGTAACGAAATTGTTCATAAATTCTGACATTTATGAAATTAATGAGTTTAAAAATAAGTTAGTTTCCAATTGTTTTTTATTTTTTTATAATGTATTTTAACTTAAAAAAACACAAATCCTAATATTCTTGAATTTAAATTAAACATCACAGGTTGAAATGTCATGACAATTTCGGTATAACTGAAAAAAGCATAACTACACTTCAAAGCTACTCTTCTTCATATACAGATGACTTTAAGGGCAATTTTCCATTAAAAACAGTTTGTGAGATCACCGAACCAATTAAGGTATATTGCATTATTTGATATGTTTTACATTTTATTTTTGCATAATTTATTTTAATAAGTTTTACATTTAATATGATACAGGAAATGAAGTTTTTATTAGTTGCTTCCATTGTTAATATAAGGCAGAATCTACCATGGTATTATGAAGCATGCAACAAATATGGAAAAAAAATAATCCCTGTTCCCAAAGCCAATCATTCGTATACCAACCCTGAGGGAATTTCAAAAACTATGGTTGTCGAGTGTACAAATGCACAATGCAAAAAATCTGAATTTCAGACAGTTATAAAGTAAACACATATTTATTTCTATTAATTTTGTCAATCTGTAAAACAACACTAACAATGACATAATTTTTTTGTTTTAGGTATATAATTCCAATGAACGTACAAGATTGTACTGGAACCATTGGATTGACTCTTTTTGATAGGGAAGCAAAGAGGCTGTTAAATATAAGTGCATACGAGTTGAAAAAGATACATGATGCGGTATATTATTCATACCTTAAAATCAGAAAACATTTACTTTTTTTTTTTTGAATTTATTAAAATATATCTTACAGGCCGGAGACAGTGATGCACTATTTCCAATGCAACTTAACGTGTTGAAAAACCGCAAGTTTGGTTTTGTTGTAGATATTACAGAATACAATGTCAACAACTATAATAACATCTACACAGTTCTCAGAGTTACAGAAGATATGTCCATTGTTTCTGAATTGGAAAGTAAAATAGAACTTATGGTATGTAACCTTTTATTGTTGAAAATTTACAATTCTTTACTGTTAAAATACATAACGATTAACATATTTCCATTTTATTTTTTAGAGTATTCAATCTGTCTCCTTAAATTAAGTTGCTTTGGAATCAGATGATGTTGTACAGTCTGTTCAAAAGGTTTTTCAATTCCTTTTATAAACTTTTATTTAGATTAGTTTTTATTTGGAATTAAACACTTATTATTATTTTTTTAAATTAGGATGTGATCTCACAAACAGATGAAAGTTTTACACCCTCAACAGTTGATAAGTCAACCGCAACAAGTCCAAGCAAAATATCAGGTGATTTGAAGCGCAACCTCCAAGAAATTTATGATGTTGATTCTGGAGATGATTTAAGTTCAACTAAGGCTAAAAGAAAGTCAACCGGAGAGGAAACTCCACTCTTAATTCCAAAATTGGAAAAGTGAGTTGCTATTGGTTATAACACACATTTAATATATTTTGATCATTTGTTTTGGTTTTAAAGATATTTTGATTGCTTGGTATGATTTTTATTTTGGGATATTTAGGATGTGAAATATTATTGGTTTTGAATATTTTTGGATATTTTTATTGTTTTAAAGTGGACAAGTTAGTTGATTTTGGTTTTAACTCAAATTAAATATATTTTGAAGTTTATTTGCTTGTAAATATATTTTGAATTTTTTCTTAATATTTAAAATTTTGGCCGATATTGCCTATGGGGTTATTATTGTTCAAATGTTACATCTCATCCAGGTTGTTAAGTAGTATAAGGTTTTTATGATTTTTTGGCTACCCCTTTTAGTTAAAAAGTATAATGCCTTTGTTGTCTCTTCCTTTAAGCATAATGCTATTGTTGATTTTCCCTTTGAAGTGTATTGCTATTCGTATCTACTGGTGTAGTAGTATGTTTTATTTTAATATTTAATTTTTGTTTTGTAAATAGTTTTTATTTAGACTCTTAATTAGCAATGATTGGCTCTTTTATTTAAAAAGTAAAATAAATGAAGTCTAAACTGTTATGTCTTGATAAAATGACTATTTTACCCATTTTACCCCTATTATACTTATAAAAGTTTACCTTATTATACAAATGAAAATTGCTTTACATTTGAATTATATTGTTATAACTTGGTATATTTATCAAAGTACAATTTTGTGATAATAATAAATGAAATTAGGATGCTATAATAATCAAAATACTTGAAATACATTTTTATTTCTAGCATTTAGCTCAATATTTAAACAAAAAATGATAGTGATAATAATACCTGTTAATTAAGAAAAGGTGCTGAAACAGAATTCAGTGAGTATGAGCTTAACTTATAATCTCTTTGCATAGCCTGTAGAAAATAATACAATGAATTAAAACCTTATAGTTATCCCTACATATCAACTTACTTTTTCGATAATATTTTTACAGAAGTAATGACCTGAATTCTTTCAAACTGAACTCTCCCTTCCAATGTAACTTCTTTACTTTCACTTGTACAATACTGTAACAACAATGACTAAATTTAAAGTAGCAATGATTCGAATAAAAAAAAAATTCCAGATTTTTTGTTTTTAATAAACAATTTTCCGAAAATACCCCTAAGATCTTTTGTTATATTAAAGGTTGCAAATGCTCTGAATCTAATTGCAATTCATTCGATAAGCACATAGGCATTCAAACTTCTTTTGCTATCACAGAAAAAAAAACACATTGTTGTAATAATCCAGAAAAAGTACAGGTAAAAAGAATGCAATCAAAAACTTTAACATAACAATTTACTTGAGTAAATTTCTTTTTATATATGAATTAAAAATTGAATAAAAGGATCATGTGTAGTCTCAGCAAAGACACCCTTTCCACCAGCACACTCCATCTCGATACTGAATATGCAAAATGGACCCATTTTTTAAAATTATCCTTCTGGAGCATGGCAAATGAGTTATGAATAACTATTATTTTTGTCACGATAATTATGTTATTTTTATTAAATAATCAATAACCAATTCTAAACAAAATTTATATCTTTTATTTTCTTCAATTAATTCATACATTTTTGTAATCGTGTCAGCATATTTACTGATCTTCTATAAATTTCGTATATTCAAGATTCTATTTCCTAATATTCTATACTCCCTTTTTAGATGAATATCTTATATTAAACTAAATTTCAGTTGTAATCTTATAAATCCCAAAAAATCAGGAACAAAATTTTATCCAATAAAGATGCAACAACAATAAAATCATAAAATCAAAACCTTTTTCCAATATATATATATATATATATATATATATATATATATATATATAACTTTACCTCAGAACGTGAAACCGAAAATTTTGAAACTCCTCATTCGTCTTCTTTATGTTTCAATTGCTTCTGCGATTCTTTTTTCATCAAACTTACATCAGGGTGCTTCATTCAAGTTCTAATCCTCATTCCAGTTCACAAATCAACTGCTTTTCATTTTAAAGCCGTCTTACTTCCTGCAAGATTTCCATATCCATATGTCAGGTTAGTATTATGAGTTTACATTACATTGGTTTCTCTATGAATTTATGGTTGAAATTCACAACAAACTGTTTCATACAAGTTCAAAAAAACTTATGTGTTCTTGGTTTTTGAAGATCTTTGTTATAATATATACAAATAATAGAGCAAAATCTTTTATCTCTTGTGAAACAGTTGCAATTAACCGATGTTTAATCGAGATATGGAAATACTAGAACAAAAAGTGTTACCGAAATCTAAATAAACTTTCATTTTACTAACTGTAAAAAAATATGTTGGAATAGATGTTTATGATCAATAATCAATTTTTAATCATCACGGTTTTGTCTATCACATGATTTTACCTTCATTGTTTCATTGGAGATCTAGGGTTTTAACCCCTGAAATCATCCGAACCCACGATTGGTTGAAATTGGGGAAAGAGCAGATGTAAATCGAATAAACCCTAGGTTGGAAACGAGGATGATGAGTCATGATGGTCATCATGGAAATAATTGATTGTGGCACTGGAAGAAGGAGAGTCTACCTTCAGATCGTATTTTTCAAACCTGAGTATGACCAAATCGGACGACGAGACGGCATCGTAGATGAAATATTCTAGGTTCCCTTTCATTCGTTGTTGATTGCGATCGATTATGGGGGAATCGATGAGATTCATTGACGGCTAATCTTCGACGACCATCTATGGAAGATTGGAGTCGTTGTAAACAAACATCCAAATTTCAGATTTTCTGTGAAACGAATTGGTTTTTTACCTTCCTGATACGAAAACACAAACACAGAGAGAGAAACATAGACAGAGTGAGTGATGAATAAGACTTTTGTAGAGAGATAGTTGTTGGTAGATTATTGAAACTTCTTTTGCTAGATTAATTTGTTTAAAAAATATACGTAGCCCTACAGGAAACCACAAGTGATGGAACAATCAAATACACAATCGTAACACATATATTTTTCAAGATTATTGAAGAGTTACACAATATAAACAAATATAAAATTTCTATTTTATATTATTTAATATTCTAAATATTTCAATTGGCTATTTTGTTTAAAAAATATTATAATGAATAAATTAATATTTGCAAATTTTGTTACACATTTTAATAAACGAATTAATAAAGGTAACTTTTTAAATACATTTACTTTATTATTATTATTTATTTAATTTTAACTAACTTTAATTGTATTATATAAACATATTATTTACCTAATAAACAATTCATATCCTATCCTATGTCTTCTTATGCAGAAAACAACAGTAACATGTACCACATGCAGGCCAGAGAGAAAGGAAGACAAAGAAAAATATATTTGGAAAATAAAAGATCGAAGAAAATAAAAACAACATCGAACGTTCCAAGTACATCATTACAACATTTCTTCAAAAATACTGTTATATAGTTGTATACATATATTTACAAGTTTTATAATTTATTTCTATTTGCAGATCAATCAATCAACATTGTTCGTCAAACTCAAAATGTTAATACATTTACAACACCTGCAAAGCATAACACAACCATACAATACTGTCATTCCTTTACATATGTTAGAACTCCATTTTCTAACATTACAAATGTTATAAATCCGTTATCTAACATTAGAAATGGTAATTATTTATGGTTTTTAAAATATACTATTATCCATTATGTATATAATCGGGATATATATATATATATATATATATATATTTAATTATTTATTTATTTATTTAATATATATATATATATTTTTGGTCAGATAACATCAGTTTCGATAAATATACCACTTCCAAGTTAGCAAACAAAAGACAGTACCATGTACTTTCAAATGAAATGACATCAAAAAATGCATCTACAGTAACAACTTCTTCATCATCAATCAAGTTAAATCCAGGATGTCATAAATTAAAAACGAAGACAAGACATTTATCCCCTATCCCATTGATTGATCTGACAGAAGATGTAGAAAATATACATCAAGTGAACAATGAAAATCTTATAGTTGGTATCTCAAATGGTAATCAAAAAATAATATCCATTTTACATTTCAAATACTATGTTGTATATAATTATAAAATTCATTGATATTTTATTCAACGCTTTTATTTTACAGAATATTTGGATCATGGTGATCAAGTTGTTGTATGTCAAACATGTCGTGCAAAGTTATGGAGAAATGAATCCATTAGAGGTAAAGAAAAGGGGAACACGGATTATTCATTATGTTGTGGTTACGGCAAAGTTCAACTTCCAGATTTAAAGAATGCACCCCCGACTTATGAAAGAATGTTCCGAAATATGGATTCAAAAAGCAAACACTTCATGAAAAACATTCGACGTTACAATTCAATGTTTTCTTTCACGTCGATGGGTGGTAAAATTGATTCTTCAATCAATAGAGGAAACGCTCCATACATTTTCAGATTGGGTGGTCAAAATTATCATAGTATTGGAAGTCTTTTGCCAGCAAAAGGATCGGAACCAAAATTCTCTCAGTTATACATTTATGACACTGACAACGAAATTACAAATAGACAAAGATGTTTTCGGTATTTTCTCAAACTTCTTATTCATAATTTAGTATTATTATTACTATATATATATATATATATATATATATATATATATATATATATATTACTAATATTATGTATAAATATATTTATTTTAGTGGTGAAAAGGATCAATCAACATCAACTGATAGTGATATTATTGAAGATATTAAGGTGATGTTGGATTCAAATAATGTCTTGGTTAGATCTTATAGGATGGTAAGAGATACTTTTCAGAAAAATCCAGAAGTTGATATGAAATTACGACTTATCGGGAGAAGGGAGCAAGATGGAAGAACATATAACCTACCGACTGCTTCTGAGGTTTCTGCTTTAATAATTGGTGACATTTCGGATTCAATCGAAAAGAGGGATATCGTCGTTCAAACAAAAAATGGTTGTCTACAACGTATCAGTGAATTGCATCCTTCGTATCTTCCTCTCCAATATCCATTGCTATTTCCATATGGGGATGATGGTTATAGTGTTGACATTCTTCATAGAGGTGTGTCATTTACGAACAACAGCAAGCGTGCGAAATGTACAATGAGAGAATATTTCGCTTATAGGATTCAAGACAGAGATCATTCGTTCTCTCTCATACTTAATTCAAGAAGGTTGTTTCAACAATTTCTGGTAGATGCCTACACTATGATGGAAACGGAGAGAATGTACTACATACGTAGGCAACAACATGTTCTTAGATGTGATTCTTATGAAAATTTACGTAACCAAAAAGCTCAAGGAACGACTGATATCTCGAATGTCGGCCAACGTGTCATATTACCTTCATCCTTTACCGGAGGTGCACGATATATGCTGCAAAACTATTTGGATGCCATGTCACTATGTAAATGGTTTGGATATCCTGATTTCTTCATAACCTTTACGTGTAATCCCAAATGGCCTGAGATTAAAAGGTTTCTTAAGGATACTTCACTTCAACCAGAAGACAGGCCTGATATACTATGTAGGTTGTTCAAGATCAAGCTTGATGCATTCATTAAAGACTTAAGGGAGAATCAAATTTTTGGCAAAGTTCAAGCATGTAATTAAAACTATATTTTTAAATTTTTTATAAAACATTGATCTTATTATTATATTTTAAATATGTTTTAATATCTAATCACATTTTCTTTTTTTTGGCAAATTCTTTTACAGATGTTTATACCATTGAATTACAAAAAAGAGGTTTGCCGCATAGTCATATATGTCTATTCATGCATTCTGACAACAAGCTACCAACTGTTGAACTTATCGATCCGATAATTTCAGCAGAGATACCTGACAGAATTGAAGATCCTGAATTGTATTCACTTGTAAATGAGTTTATGGTTCATGGTCCATGTGGAGCTGAAAATATGAATTGTCCATGCATGGTGGATAAAAAGTGCTCTAAAAACTTTCCAAAACAATTCAGTAATCATTCGTCTGTTGATCAGAATGGTTTTCCGTTATATAGGCGAAGAAACGATGGTCATTTTGTAGAAAAATCAGGTGTAAGGTTGGATAATAGAAATGTTGTTCCATACAACAAATATCTATTGAAAAGATATCAGGCACATATTAATATTGAATGGTGCAATCAGGGATCTTCTATAAAGTATTTGTTTAAATACATAAATAAGGGTCCTGATAGAGCTACAGTTGCTGTTGTACCAACCAACAATGAATGTGAAAATAATGATGCGGTCGATGAAATAGCTGAATATTACGATTGTAGATATTTATCAGCATGTGAAGCATCATGGCGAATTTTTACATATGATGTTCATTGCAGATATCCTTCTGTTGTCAGACTACCTTTTCATCTTCCTAATCAACATCATATTGTATATGGCGAAGACGATGATATTGATGATGTTCTTGACAAACCTTCTGATGCGGCTTCAAAGTTCACAGCTTGGATGGAGTGTAATGCAATCGACAGTGAAGCACGAAAACTCACATATGTTGAATTCCCTACAAAGTTTGTTTGGATATTAAATGGTCGGTTTTGGAAGCGAAGGAAAGTAGGAAAAAGCCATCGGTAGAATTCATTCTGTTTCACCTAAACTAGGTGAACCATATTTCTTAAGGATTCTTTTAAATAAAGTAAAAGGACCAACATCATTTGATGATATTCGCACCGTAAATGGTCAAACACATTCTTTTTTTAGAGATGCTTGTTATGCACTCGGGCTATTAGATGATGACAAGGAATACATTGATGCAATTAAAGAAGCAAATCATTCTGGATCTGGTTTTTATCTACGCTTTTTATTTGCTACATTGTTGATGTGTAATAGTATGTCAAAACCAGAAGTCGTTTGGGAAAATACATGGGAATATTTGGCAGATGGAATTCTATATAGACAACGACAAAGATTTAAGTCTGCAGGTATAACATTTTTTCTTATTTTTTTTAAATTAATTTATTTTTATTATTCAACAACCATTAAATAATTATTAATAAAATTATTAAATATCGACGACATATTTTATTAATTATTTAATATTTTCGTGCAGAGTTGTCACTTGGAGTAGATGAACTTAAGAACTTAACTTTGTTCGAAATACAACAAATTTTACTTCGAAACAACTCTACTCTCAAAAACTTCAAAAACATGCCATACCCAGATGTTGAATCCGTTTCTTCTTCAAACAATCGGCTTATCACCGAGGAGCTAGATTACGACGTTCCCGTGATAAAGAATGACTATGATCGTATGTTTCTTGCATTAACAAATGAGCAACGTAATATTTTCCTAAACATCATGAGTGCTATTCAAGAAAATAAAGGAGGTGTCTTCTTTGTTTACGGTTATGGTGGAACGGGTAAAACTTTTTTATGGAAAACAATATCTGCAGCAATTAGATCTGAAGGAAATATTGTATTAAATGTTGCTTCAAGCGGTATTGCTTCCTTATTATTGCCTGGTGGTAGAACAGCACACTCTCGATTTATAATTCCATTTGAGCTTACAGAGGATTCTTTTTGTAACATAAATTTGGAAGCTCTCCACGTACCTTGGCGTGGAGAGTACTTATGATGACCTTATATTGTGACATGTGGCCAAATTGTGTCAGCGGACTTGGTCATGGATTACTTTGTATTTTTTATGTGTTATATGGCTTGAAAAGCCCACAATGGGTTATTCCCATGCCCAACAAACATAGTCTTTGACATTGTTTAAAATTTAAATTTTGTTTTTACTATATCTTGTTTCCTTCTTTTATGTGTTTAAAAAGTATAGTTCTATGAAATAATTTCATTATTTCAATATATAAACACATCCTAATGAAAAAGTGGGATGGCTATGACCCCTTATGGCAGACATTCCGTCCCCGGTTAGTAATGGGTTCCAAATGTGGGTAATAAAAGTTTAAGCGGGTTATCATCTCAAACAACCGTCTCATATTTTACTTCCCTATATCAGAATCATAAATCCATCGGATATAGTTATACTCTAATTAATTTGTTCCCATGTAAGTAATTTAGATCTATAAAACATGAAAAATAAGATCTTCTAAATGTAAAACATGTTCCATGTTATGATGTTTATTATCACAGGTGTCCCGGTATGATGTTTTTTATCACGAGCTACGAGAGTTTCGTCATACATATGGTTTATGGATAAATTACATCTATAACGGAACCTCCATCTTTATCGCACAAATACAATCGAGTGTCTATCTTCCGCCATAAAAAACAACATAATCATCAGTAGTAACAACAAGAACATCGTCCACATGAGCAAAAAATGAATAAAATTTAGTTTAAACGAAAAAGTTTGTTAAATGTGACTTTTCTTGAAAAAAATAAAAATTGAAGATTTTTTTCGAAACGTTTTATATATATATATATATATATATATATATATATATATATATATATATATATATAATTGTAATGTAAACCGGATAATCGAGCAAAATGTAAAAAAGGAAGGTTGTAATTGATTTAAACCAAAAAATTAAAACTTATTAGCTTTTATGAAATTAACCTAAATGTCCCTATTCCTAACGATGTAAATTAAATGGGAGCTGATTTTTCTAGGGAGGTTTTTGATACTTCTACTTAATATTTTATGTATAGACTATTATACCCTTCAATTCATTTAATTATTTAATTAATGTATGAATAATTAATATAAGAAGCTGATAATATGAGATCTCAACTATCTTTACGTGAATAATAAGCTCTAACATATATACCCAATTTCTTTTTCCAAAAATACATACATGACGCACGACCAAGCTTTCGAAATCCACAATCGGCACGACGATCTTCATCAACGGCTACTTTCGTTCATCTTTCAATCGGTAACCTTCAAAATCTCTATTATTAGTCACTAAAAATTTTAAAAATAACTAAATAAAATGTCAATATTCAATTCGTATCATCATGATTGGGTTAGGAAGATTGATAGGTCTACATATCACAAAAAAAGGGGAATAGAAAAGTCAACGTGGACCACATGCTAGTGGTAAACCTAAGAAATTTACTTTGAATAATTACACGCTTCAACAACAAATATTATATTTTGAATACGTAATTTTTCTTGAATAAAAAGCTTTTTAATTAAGCATCTCAACAACAACACATTCATGTAAAAAGACAAAGGTATGGATTTTTCCATTAATAACAGTAATTGTTCGATTTTTATTTTTAAATGTGAAGGTTAGATGAAAAAAACGAGCAAGACTTTGACTTTCTTACCTTAGAAGAGAATTATTCAATTGTTTGTTTAACGAAGCTATATTTTAGACTTTTGATTATGTTAAGACCATATGATAACTCCACGTTTAAATTTGAATTGGTTATGATTATGTTAAACTTGAATTGATTATGATTCAAAATTGAAATTTGAATTGATTATGATTCAAATTGTATTAAAATTGATTTGATTATGTTAACTTTTTGATTTAAACTTAAATGTGATGTTTGATTGTGTTAAAATTGATTGAACATAGAGAATTGATTCATCAAGTTCTACGGTACAAAATGAAGAACTCTATTTAGCTAACTCCATATTTGAATTGTATGATGAATTACTAAAGAGTGTAAGAGATTTTTATTATGCTAACGGATATGGAGTATTTATTCGAGATTCAAGTAAAGATAAATATGTCACATTACAATGTGATCGAGGCGGTTTCTATCGAGATAGAATGTGTATTGGAGATAAAAGGAAGAAGAACACTCGATCTCGTTTGATTAACTGCCCCTTCCAGATTGTAGGTAAAAAAGGAAATGATGGTGTTGGGGTACTTAAGGCAAAAAACTTGACTCACAACCATGAACCATCTATTGATATCTCTGGGCATCCATCATTTCGTCGATTATCACCGAATGATGTACAAAGTGTTAAAAATATGACGCTTTCTCGCATACCCCTAAGGCAAATTATTTCTTCTTTGCGTCAAGGAAACCCAAACCTTCCGGCAGTCTCTCGAACCATATACAATCTGAAGGCGAAAATCCGCAAGGAGAACTTGGGCAATCGATCAATGGCTAGTGCTTTTTTTGAAGAGTTTGAAAAAGAGGGTTTTATCTATGATATTTTACATAACTCAATAGGGCATATAACCCATTTGTTTATTGCACATCATTTGTCAACTAAATTGGCAAAATCTTTCTCTAATATCTTTATAATGGATTGTACATATAAAACAAACAAATATAACATGCCGCTCCTTGACATCATTGGGGTTTCATGTTTTAATACATCTTTTTATTCTGGATTTGTATTTCTTGAGAGGGAGGATGAAGATAGTTATATTTGAGCATAAAGTGTGTTTAAGAAGACTCTTGAAAACCGTGAATCGTCTGTGATTATGTCTGACAGAGAGTTGACATTAATGAATGCCATAAATATGGTATTTCCGAACACGACAAACCTTTTGTGTATTTGGCATACTGAAAAGAATGTGTTGGCAAATTGCAAGAAGCATTTTGCACATATAGAAGAGTTTAATCTATTTATGTCAAGTTGGAATAATGTAGCATATTCAACAACTACAACTATTTTTGAGCATAACTGGGGTGAATTTGAGTTGTTTTATCAGGCGAAGAAAGTTGTAATTGAGTACATAAAAAACACATGGTTGCTTTGAAAGGAAAAGTTTGTCAGTGCATGGACAGAAAAATATTTGCATTTTGGTAATCGGTCATCATCAAGGGCTAAAGGTGCTCATGCCAAACTGAAACAATATCTACAAGTATCTATAGGTGGCTTTCAAGATGTTACAAAAAAGATTTTCCTTGCAATCAAACATGAATTCAATGAGATTAAAGTGAAACTCGCAGATAAAAGAATCCAAGTTCTTCATAATTGTGATGCACCTGTTTTTAGAGAGATTTTGTGTCATGTGTCTCATTTTGCATTAGAGGAGATACATATGCAATATGAAAAAATAAAAACTGGTATTTACAAAGCTTATAGTTTTACATTTGCACAACATTATTTTTTACATTAACCTTTATTATATTTGATTTTTTAGGTACAATGACTTCTTGTACTGGTCATTTTATGGCAACCACGGCTCTTCCTTGTGCTCACAAGATAAACCATTTAGAATGAATGACACTTTCATTGGATCTTATTCATCCATAGTGGAGGATTGATACATTGTGTTTGAATTCAGAAGATGGTTTACATAATGATGGAGCCAAGGAATTTGATGAGTTGCTTAGTGAGTTGTCTTCAAGATACCAAATGTGGCCTCAAAGTAAGAAAGAATTTGCTAATTCTATGATTACTAAACTTTTGATCTGATACGTTTTTTGAGCCTATGATTCGTCGACCAAAGGGTAGACCTCCAAAATCAAAAAAGAAAAGAGGAATAAATTCTAGCGTACGAGACCCTTATTCATCGATTACTTTATTAATATGTTTATTTGTAATATTATATTTGTTTTTCTTATTATTTATATACTATACGTTTTATATATGATTAATATAGCTTATTTAATTATCAACTTATTTCCTTAAGCTTTTTCATTCATGAACATGTTGATAAGGCAATAAGAATCTTTATCAACTCTTCGATTTGTGATCTAGTATTTTTTTTTCAAAATAATTTGTTGTTTAACAAAAAAAATTGTTAATTGTTAATTAATTCTGTTATAAACTCTAATTAACATGAAAAAACCATCCCACTATTGACCATTAAGTTAAAACTTTTAGTATATGTTATAAGATTGAAACCAAAATAAACCTATTTCTATGGTTTTGTTTCGAAGTATTAGTTTCGGCCCCTCTAATTCTAATGTTTGTGTTGCGCACCTAATCTTGACAATTAAGTCCTCTTTACAATTTAGTAATGTTAGTATTGTACACATGTTTTACAAGTGACCATTGCATCATAATTACTTTATTTTACAAGAGACCAATGCATAATAATGGTTACATAACTACTCTATGTAGTATTGATAGCATGCTGATTTTTTTTATTTATAATTACAAATATGCAAAAGAAATTATTTCAAGAGCCGTTTAAAAAAAAATCCAAGCTTTTGAATTTAAAAAAATTCATCATATTAATTGGAAACTAAATGTGTTGAACGAATAAAGGATATATAGTTTGGGAAGATTTTCCTCTCTCTTCATTATCTTAAATCTTAAATTAAATATAAAATAAACTAAATGGTATAATATAATAATACTCCTTAATATATAAAAAGAATTTTTTTGTCACATGTCATTTTCTAATGAATTTTAATATTTGTCATTTTGTGATAACTTTTAAATAAATAGTATCCACATGTCAATTTATTATTTTTTTTAATTTTTAAAATTAAAAAGTCACATAATAATTATAGTTATATATGTAAAGTATTATACTAAATTGAAAGTATCAAATGTAATAAATATTATACTAAATTGAAATTAATATGTTTCTTCATTTCTTATTTCAAAATTTTATTTTTAAAAATACTTATTATTTACATTTTAATATTTTATTTTTTTTAATTAACCCGTGTAATACACAAGTTTTACACCTAATAATTTATACTTAAAATATTAATCGGAAGCATCAACAAGTTCCTTAGAAAAATCAGCTCTCAAATTAAATATATGTAGGTTAATTATTGTCATTTAAAAAATGGAGTAGTTATGAACCAGTACGCCATTCTTTGCGGGTAGGAAGTTACAGGTCACAGGCCACTCGACACCCATACAAACCGATTCAAAACGACGTCTATCTCCACCATCCTTTTTTCATCGCTCGGAAATCGATTGGCATATTGAAATTTGAAATCGATTCAACGGATCTTATTTCATAAAAGTAATCATAGGGGTTTTTTGCAACTTCCTCGCAGATCTTCCTCATGAGTCTTAGGTACATTTTGTTTGACTTAATCTATTATACATAGAAAACGCTAATTTTTATTTCGTTTAATCTCGATTCGATTCGATTCCTTTTCCATTTCCCTTAAAGCTAATTACTGCATTGTCCTTGGGTTTTGATGAGATCACATGAATTAATTGTGTTTTTTTTTTCTATGTTGGGGTTTTCAAACGGAAGTTGATGTGAAATGAACAAATTTGTAAACGATCTCGGTTTTCACAGACGTTACAACTTCGGAATAGAATTTTTAATTGTTTGATCTAGGTTATATTCACAATTCACTATTATTGTAGTTAAACAGAAGCGTGTTTGATGAAACAAATTTGTAAAAAATACTCAGATGGTCCTAAATTGGTTTCAATTTGGGGAAAGTAAATTAGTACCTGGACGATTGGATCCAATCACTCTTGATCTTCTAACTACTCCTCTTTCATTGATACTTGAATGCACCAGTGAATCATGCATTACAACCCTTGATGCATACCTTTATAGGCTGCTGCTTTGTTCTTCATTTAAGTACGGAGGACCAGATACTTCATTACTAATTCCCAGATTTTGAATTCGATTTCAAAGAAAATGCATTTTATGCAATGATTTAATTTGATTCAACAGATGCTTAATTGTTTTCTTCGTTTCTAATTCAGTAAAATTGAGAACCAAGGTTCCACCACAGACAACTTCGATGCTATTTCAGACAGAGAAATTTTCGAGCTTTCAGGTCCCTTACACCTCACTACCATTGACTGGTAACTTTTTACCTTTCTTTTCTTAATTCTTGCTTTGGCCCCCTTCCACCTTTTTTGGTGGGACACAAAATTACAATTTTGCCCCACATTAGTCTCGGTTCAAACACAGTATAACATGTTCTGTCAAGTCATGTCATGTCATGTTATAGACCAATGCATGCCAATCACAGTATAATCTATTCTGACATGTCATGTCATAGTCCAATGCATGCCAAACCCAGTATAACCTGTTCTGTCATGTCATGCAGGACTAATCCGGATCACCGAAGATCTGTTGCAGCATGTTTAGTTCAAGGCGTATATATCATAGAACGAGACCGCCAGGAAAACCGCCAGCCGCCACTTGCACCGCCATGGTGGCAGTTCTTCAACTTTGACTTACACAGTCAACTCATCGATGATGCTGACTCATGCATCTTCGGTGCTATCTACAAATTCAAAAATCCAATTTCAGAATCAACCCCATCTTACATCATCGCGTTTCGTGGCACATTAACAAAAGGCAACGCCTTGTCACGAGACTTAGAACTCGACATCCACATCATAAAAAACGGATTACATCAAACATCAAGGTTCGAAATCGCCATGCAAGCAGTCAAAAACTTGGTATCCGGTCAAACATCAAAGTCAAACATATGGTTGACCGGTCATTCATTAGGATCCGCCATGGCTTTACTTGCGGGAAAGAAAATGGCAAAATCCGGGATCTTGCTTGATTCGTATCTTTTCAATCCACCATTCTTTTCGGCCCCACTTGAGAATATTAAGGATCAAAATCTGAAACATGGGATTCGGATTGCTAGCAGTTTCTTGACAGCTGGACTTGCTGTTGCTGCACAGATCAGGAACACGAATCAACAAAGAAACAATAATACGCCAGAAGATTCGTTTCTTGCATTGGCGGGGTGGGTCCCGTGTTTGTATGTGAATCCAGGGGATCATATTTGTTCAGAGTATATTGGGTATTTTGAACATAGGAAAAAGATGGAGGAGATAGGAGCTGGTGGGATTGAAAAGCTGGCAACTCAGCATTCTATTTCTGGTGTTTTTTTTAATGCAATTGGGAAAGAATCTCATGAACCACTTCATCTTCTTCCTTCAGCGAATCTGACCATTAATTTGACTCCTGCTGTTGATTTCAAGGAAGCTCATGGGATTCATCAATGGTGGATAAGTAATCAGAAGCTGGAGACTAGAGTCTACAGTTGAGTATCTATCGTCTTAAAAATGGTGTTTTTTAAAATTTGTTTTACCTATTTCTTAGGTCAAACATGTTGGCTTTTGTTTATATAATCTTGATTGACCATGTTTTTAGATTTGAACACAAAATTCACTTAGAAATTCAATATCACACATTTGTGTTGACCATGTTTTTACCTTATATTCTTTTGTAAGTTGAGCGATACGAGAATATAAACATTTGTGTTGGCACTCTGTCATGTATCGATGGAATCATAGTCATTTAAAATATTGAGCAGCTTAAAAATATTTGAAATTTGAGGGGTCTTGTACGATTTTATTCATAGGAAGAGATGGATGCCAATAGTAATATGAGAACCAATTTGAGGCGAGCTGAAAAAGTTGAACTCTATAGACAATTAATGCAGATTACTTAGGAGTGGGTCCTAAAAAGTGAGTGCTGATGTGGTGTGATTTTCACGATAATTTGCACACGCGAAGTGAAAATATGGGTACAAGTATATTATGGAGTGTTTGTCTCCATACGGTTTGCACCACTCCAGGAAGTTGCAATTTTTTTTCTTAAGTGAGTAGTTAAAAGTTTCCAATGTGAGTTGTAGGTCTTGAAATTGGAAACTTTGCAGGAATTATGTTATCTTTATTGTTAGAAAATCGGGGTGTTTAGAATACTTGGAAAACTGAGAATCGTAAATTACACATTCAGATTAAAGTATTTCGATGGTATTCTCGAAATCTTTAGATCGGATAAAACTCAGTGTGTATCAAGAACGGAGAATGAAAGGATGATATGATCTTGTGATGTACCAGAGAAAAACGAGAATTACCAATATTAGGAGATAATAGGGGTGACAATTGATGACACGATACAACACGAAAAGAAATTGGGACGAAACTGAAATTGAATTCGTGTTTGTGTCAAGTGTAAAAAATACGGCGTCGTGTTCAAAATTCGACACGAAATTGACACGTTTTAGCATTTTTCTGTCGTGTTTTTTGTGTTTGCCGTGTTATGAACAATTAAATATTAATTAAATAAACTAATTCTTATTTTATGTTATCTTTGTCGTGTCATTACGTGTTTGTCGTAGTTTAATTGGTTCGTTTTCGTGTTAATTAAAAAAACACGACATCGTGTCGTGTTCGTGTTAAACAAAAACACAACACGATTGCCCGATTTGCCACCCCTAATAGATAACTCATTTGTCTGAAAACTACCTTGTCTAAAAAGTACCAAAAAACCACCATCTCAAATTGTCGCTAAAACTGGGTTCAAGATTATGGTAGAAAACTGGGTTATTTTTCTCAAATTCAGATTTTCATGCATTTTCCACAAAGCAATATTAACCCCAAAGAAAAAAAAAATCAATGCCCCTCGGACCCCGCTAGTGGTTGCCACCCCCTAGGACCCCACTATCAAGGGCGTTGCCCCTGGACCCCGTCGGTTTAGGGGCGAGCCCCTAAATAACAGTATATTTTGAATCTTGAATAAATTCAAACAAATGTGCACTCCGCACCAACCTAACTTGTTTAGTATTCATCAAGATTGCATTGGTCATCAAATTAATTCCATTACACTTAAATAATATTATTGATACAAATCATCAACATTTATATAGAAAGGCTTAAACGTTCAAAACTTTATGAATACCTATCACATAAGCTTTATGTGTTTTTTGTGGACTTTGGATCGTTAATAGTACATGTATATTGTACTATTGTTGTTTATATTTAGTTCATAACATATGTAATTTGGACGGATATATTGTATGAAATTGTCTAATCGCTCTCACTATCCTCTACTACAAATATAGACTCTAATTATCTAATTATATGAACTCATTTTGAATCATCTAGAATGGATATCTCAGAATATACAATGTTAAAGCTGAAATGTACCTCAATCTGACATGTTATATTTTGGTAAACATTTATGGATTATCTCATCAATAGTCTGAAACAATATTGAATACTCACTCCGGAGATCATATGGTCATTTTTCGAAACAAAGAAACCATAGGTCATTTTCATTTAATAACTTTGTTCCTAATGGTTGGACCGAAAGTATCGAAAACCGAAATAACTAATTAATAGGTACCGAATATGGAATACCGGTACTGGTAGCAATGTCGATTTTTTAAGAACTCCAACCAGGTATGTTTGAAGCTTTGTAACTCAGCCAAAACTTATCCAATTAAATTGATTCTAGAGCCTAAATTGTAGTACGAAAAAGAATGAGCTCCTATGAGTGAGTTATCGCTGTGTAAGGATGACGAAAAAACTGTAATAAACTTAACATACCGAAAAAAAAACAGCAATATAATCCTCTATATAGGGAACTATAACTCGGCAAATAACTAGTAAAAGAGAAAATGACCTATAAACCCAACAAAATTTTTGAATTGTTCAAAAAACTTCAATTATGTTTTGTCTGTTCAAGAACATCCAACCAACTTAACTTTTTGTCTAAAAAGATCCAACTAACTTACACTTTTGTTCAATTCTCGTCAACCGGCTAATAAAAGTCAATAAATGACCTGGCTGATGAAGTGAATTTAAATATCAGGAAAATGACTTGTAAAGTTTCGAAACCGTTTAAAAAAAAAAAAAAAAAAAACATATTCATGGTTTCGAAAATACACAACATGATAGGTTTTTTGAACGTACAAGTCATTTTCTTGAGACATGGAAGCGAGAAGGTCGAAGCCGTTCGTGGTCAAACCAGTTTCGCAGAAGGATTATCACTTGGAGTGATAATTACACGTGACTTGGAAGAATCCACATTTAGTTTAGTTTGTTTTGATCATATCTGGTAGCTTAGAAGTTAGTTTGAATAAGTGGATAAGTACGCCATTCTTTCCGGGTAGGATGTTACAGGTAACAGGCCACTCGACACCCATACAAACCGATTCAAAACGACGTCTATCTCCATCATCCTTTTTCATCGCTCGGAAATCGATTGGCATATTGAAATTTGAAATCGATTAAACGGATCTTATTTCATCAAAGTAATCACAGGGGTTTTTGGCAACTTCCTCGCAGATCTTCCTCATGAGTCTTAGGTACATTTTGTTTGGCTTTATCTATTATACATAGAAACACGGTAATTTTTATTTCGTTTAATCTCCATTCGATTCCTTTTCAATTTCCCTTAAACCTAATTACTGCATTGTACTTGGGTTTTGATGAGATCACATGACTTAATTGTGTTTTTTTTTTGTATGTTGGGGTTTTCAAACGGAAGTTGATGTGAAATGAACAAACTTGTAAACGATCTCAGTTTTCACGGACGTTACAACTTCAGAATAGAATTTTTAATTGTTTGATCTAGGTTATATTCACACTTCACTATTATTGTAGTTAAACAGAAGATGAAACATATTTGTAAAAAATACTCAGATGGTCCTAAAGTGGTTTCAATTTGGAAAAATAAATTTGTACTTGGATGATTGGATTTGGATCCAATCACTCTTGATCTTCTAACTACTCACTAATGGTTGTCTTCCTCTTTCATTGATGCTTGAATGCACCAGTGAATCATGCATTACAACCCTTGATGCATACCTTTATAGGCTGCTGCTTTGTTCTTCATTTAAGTACGGAGGACCAGATACTTCATTACTAATTCCCAGATTTTGAATTCGATTTCAAAGAAAATGCATTTTATGCAATGATTTAATTTGATTCAACAGATGCTTAATTGTTTTCTTCGTTTCTAACTCAGTAAAATTGAGAACCAAGGTTCCACCACAAAGAACTTGGATGCTATTTCAGACAGAAGTTTTCGAGCTTTCAGGTCCCTTACACCTCACTACCATTGACTGGTAACTTTTTACCTTTCTTTTCTAAATTCTTGCTTTGGTCCCCTTTCCTATACACAGTATAACCTGTTCTGTCATGCAGGACTAATCCAGATCACCGAAGATCTGTTGCATCATGTTTAGTTCAAGGCGTGTATATCATAGAACGAGACCGCCAGGAAAACCGCCAGCCGCCACTTGCACCGCCATGGTGGCAGTTTTTTAACTTTGACTTACACAGTCAACTCATTGACGATGCTGACTCATGCATCTTCGGTGCTATCTACAAATTGAAAAATCCAATTTCAGAATCAACCCGATCTTACATCATCGCGTTTCGCGGCACATTAACAAAAGGCAACTCCTTTTTACGAGACTTAGACCTCGACATCCACATCATTAAAAACGGATTACATGAAACATCAAGATTCGAAATCGCCATGCAAGCAGTCAAAAACTTGGTATCCGGTCAAACATCAAAGTCAAACATATGGTTGACCGGTCATTCATTAGGATCCGCCATGGCTTTGCTAGCGGGAAAGAAAATGGCAAAATCCGGGATCTTGCTTGATTCGTATCTTTTCAATCCACCATTGGCGGGGTGGGTCCCGTGTTTGTTTGTGAATCTGCACAGATGAGGAACGCGAAGCAACAAAGAAACAAAAAAATTAATAAGCCAGAAGATGCGTTTCTTGCATTGGCGGGGTGGGTCCCGTGTTTGTTTGTGAATCCAGGGGATTATATTTGTTCAGAGTATATTGGGTATTTTGAACATAGGAAAAAGATGGAGGAGATAGGTGCTGGTGGTATTGAAAAGCTTCATCTTCTGGGATTCTATTTCTGGTGTTTTTTTTAATGCGATTGGGAAAGAGTCTCATGAACCGCTTCATCTTCTTCCTTCAGCGAATCTGACCATTAATTTGACTCCTGCTGTTGATTTCAAGGCAGCTCATGGGTTTCATCAATGGTGGATAAGTAATCAGAAGTTGGAGACTAGAGTCTACAGTTGAGTATCTATCGTCTTAAAAATGGTGTTTTTTAAAATTTGTTTTTTTACTTATTTCTTAGGTCAAACGTGTTGGATTTTGTTTATATAATCTTGAATGTCCATGTTTTTAGATTTGAACACAAAATTCACTTAGAAATTCAATATCACACATTATGATGTAAAGCAATATGCTCATATGCTGGGTAATCTTGACATGGGTCATGGGTTTATTGGGTAAAAGGGTAGTATTTGGTTTGATTTATTTAATGTTTGAATAAAGGACTTTGACCAAGTTCAAATTGAGAAAACGTGACGTGATGTATATTGTAGTGTCTTTTTCTTTAGGAGTAGTGACTAGCTTTTAGATTGGTATTGTTTATTTCCGTTGGGTTTTGTAGGCTATTTATATTCATTTGCTTTTGATCAATAAAGTAGTTGTTGAGTCCCGAATATAAACAAAAAGTCTCCATCTGTTTTCCTTCTTCTTTTCTTTTCGCGTACAGCAACAACAACACGGAACAACTTTTTTGTTTTCCTTCTTATTTGTTTAGAGGTTGTAGGGGCTGGTCTAACATCATATCCCTTATATTCTTTTGTAAGTTGAGCGATACGAGAATACAAACATTTGTGTTGGCACTCTGTCATGTATCAATGGAATCATAGTCATTTAAAATTTTGATCAGCTTAAAAATATTTGAAATTTGAGAGGTCTTGTACGATTTTATTCATGGGAAGAGATGGATGCCAATAGTGATATGAGAATCAATTTGAGGCGGGCTGAAAAAGTTGAACTCTATAGACAATTAATGCAGATTACTTAGGAGTGGGTCCTAAAAAGTGAGTGCTGATGTGGTGTGATTGTCACAATAATTTGCACACGCGAAGTGAAAATATGGGTACAAGTATATTATGGAGTGTTTGTCTCCATACTTTTTGCACCACTCGAGGAAGTTGCAAAATTTTTTCTTTAAGTGAGTAGTTAAAAGTTTCCAATGTGAGTTGTAGGTCTTGAAATTGGAAACTTTGCACGAATTATGTTATCTTTATTGTTAGAAAATCGGGGTGTTTAGAATACTTGGAAAACTGAGAATCGTTAATTACATATTCATATTAAAGTATTTTGCTTGTACTCTCGAAATCTTTAGATCGGATAAAACTCGGTGTATATCAAGAACAGAGAATGAGAGGATGATATGATCTTGTGATGTACCAGAGAAAAATGAGAATTACCAATATTAGGAGATAATAGGGGTGACAATTTATGACACGACACGACACGAAACGAAATTGGGATGAAATTGAAATTGAATTTGTGTTCATGTCAAGTGTAAAAAACACGACCTCGTGTCGTGTTCGTATTCAAAATTTGACACGAAATTGACACTTAGCATTTTTCTGTCGTGTTTGTCGTGTTATAAATGATTAAATATTAACTAAATAAACTAATTTTTATTTTATGTTATCTTTGTAACATCCATAAAAATCATGCCAAATTTAAACTTTTTAAAAAATTTAGAAACCAACAGTTATTACAAATTTATTTTCAAAATAGTTCTATATCAGAGTCTCCCAGAAACAAAATCATAAAAAGTGAGGAGTTGTACGATCACACCTTTGTCTTCCCGCGATCATCTGAGGTACCTGAAACCAAAACTAAAACTGTAAGCCCAAAGCTTAGTGAGTTCCCCCAAAATACTGATACACAATAATAACATATATACAAATAATAAAATGTAATGGGTCCACAACTTACAGACTGGATTACCCCTAGGCCCACAGTGTGAGTCTGGCTTGCCTTCCGGGCCCACAGCTCACATCTGGCTTGCCACCGAGCCCACAGTACGAGTCTGGCATCCCCTACCCGGTCCTCAGCTCGTATCTGGAATACTCCTGAGTCCTCAGTATGAGTCGGGCATGCCCTGCCCGGCCCTCAGCTCATATCTGGAATACTCTAGGGTTTGTTGGCTACCGCACGGAACAGTACAACCTCAACCCATCCCATATAATATGTCGACATATAACAAAACTAATGCACATACAGATAATCAGGTAGTAACACAGGTAGTCCTACAGATCTACCCTCTAGCATAACAACTAGCATGCATAGCTAACACATACTCAACATATCAATAACTACTAGGATATCAAATCCTATGGGCCGACCTTGGTGCCTTAGACCCCTTAGTATAGTGAGGACAACTCACCTCGTAAATGTCGTACTGAAGTGATAAGCTCAAACTCTCGAATCACAGCCACAAACTCCACCACCTATAATTGCCATCAGACCATTTCCATAAATTTCCAATTTACTAAAATACCCCCAGAAGTTAAACTAGTCAACCCTTGGTCAAAGTCAAAGTCAACGGTCAAGGTCAACAGCTCATGTTGACCCAACTCGTCGAGTACAGTGTACCAACTCGTCGAGTTCGTCCAGAACTCACATGGTCATAAAACCCTAGTTGACTCGCCGAGTTTCTAGGAAACTCGTCGAGTTCAAGCGTGTCCAAATGTCGGGAAGACCCCATCTGACTCGTCGAGTCGTCTCCCAGACTCGCCGAGTCCATGCAGAAACCATCCTCAGGCAATCTTCATCCGACTCGTCGAGTTGACCATGCAACTCGTCGAGTCCCTTCAGTCCATTACGCATTCAGACGATTTAAAGCCACCTCAAAGCTCCAAATTGTAAATCTAGCTTCCTAAGGCATGTTTATCACGTAAAGTTGCAAACTTTACGTGCATGCAAGGTCTTAAACGCTTAGAATCCGAAATTTAGGCTTAAAATGGCGTTTAACTCAAAGGGGGTGGCTCATATTATTTGCTAAAGCTGGAAACTTTATAGCTATAGAGACCAAGATAAGCTCAGATCTGAAGTTGCAACTTCAAATCCTAGCTCATACCCGAAAATGGTTCACATACATGCTAGAAAAGCCCTAATATTAAACATGAAGAGATCTAGAAAGAGGAAAGCCAAGGTAACAACTTGTTACCTTCAAACTGATGCCAATAAGCAGAAGAGTTAGATCCACCAACTCCTTTGTGCTTCAATCCACTTATACTTCAAGCCTTCTTCTTCCAATTCACCTCCCAAGCTTGAAAATCACACAAAATGGAGAGCACACTCGAATTAGGGTTTTAGAGCTCAAGGGGGCGGTGAGGGGAGGCCAAAGGAGGCTAATGATCCTTTAAATAGGGTGCTAGACCCTGGAAATTAGGGTTTCATCCCCCAACTCCAACTCGTCGAATCGGGTCCACCGACTCGTTGAGTAGGTCACTTAAATGGCGTGGCCAAAAACGTTTCCACTCGACGAGTCATAGCATCAACTCGTCGAGTAGGCCCTTCATAATGCAAATAAAGCTTTTAAAGTTCGTACCTGAAAATCGAGGCGTTACAATTCTCCCCCACTTGAACTAGACTTCGTCCTCGAAGTCCGCTGCGGTGAACAACTCCGGGTAATGCTCCCGCATCTCAGCCTCCGGCTCCCACGTCCACTCGGACCCTCTCCGATGCTCCCACTATACCTTTACCAAAGGTATCTCCTTGTTCCGCAGAACCTTCACCGTCCTCTCAAGAACGGCCACGGGCCTATCCACATAGTTCAGGCGCTCATCGACCTGAATATCATCCAAAGATACTACTGCCTCCTCATCTAACACGCACTTCCGCAACTGTGACACATGGAAAGTGTTGTGGATCTGACTAAGCTCCTCAGGAAGATCTAGTCTATACACCAACATTCCCACCCTGACAATAATCCTGAACGGCCCAATGTATCGGGGACCCAACTTCCCCCTCTTCCTGAATCGAATCACACCCTTCCAGGGTGAGACTTTCAGGAGTACCATGTCACCGACCTGAAACTCCAACTCAGATCGGCGTCGGTCGGTGTAGCTTTTCTGCTGACTTTGCACGGTCTGCAGCCGCTGTCTGATCTGCTGAATCATCTCGGTAGTCTGCAGGACTACCTCGGTACGACCCATCACCCTGTGACCAACCTCGCCCCAGCAGACCGGGGTGCGGCATCTACGTCCATACAACAGCTCATAAGGTGGGGCACCTATGCTGGAATGAAAGTTGTTGTTGTAGGAAAACTCTGCAAGCGGCAGGTAGGAGTCCCAGCTCCCATCGAAATCGATAACGCAGGCTCTCAGCATATCCTCGAGAGTATGTATGGTCTGCTCACTCTGGCCGTCTGTCTGCGGATGGTAGGCTATACTGAAATGCAGCCGCGTGCCCAGTTCCTCGTGGAACTTCTGCCAGAAACGGGAGGTAAACCGAACATCACGGTCTGAAACGATAGAGACCGGTACCCCATGGCGAGCAACAATCTCGCGGATATATACCTCGGCCAACTTCTTGGCCGATGAACTCTCCTGTATCGCTAAAAAGTGGGCGCTCTTAGTCAGTCGATCCACGATGACCCAAATAGCGTCGAAACCCTTTGTCGTTCTCGGCAGCTTGGTAATAAAATCCATCGTGATCTGTTCCCATTTCCACATGGGAACCTCCAGAGGCTGTAACTTGTCATGCGGCCTCTGATGCTCGGCCCTGACCATCCTGCAGGTCAAGCACCTCTCGACATACCAAGCGATCTCTTGCTTCATGCATGGCCACCAGTAACTCAAACACAAATCCCGGTACATCTTGGTGGCCCCCGGGTGAATAGAGAAGCGAGACTTACGAGTCTCCTCCAGAACAATCTGTCTAACCCCACCAGTCATCGGAACCCATACCCGACCGCAACGGTTAACAACCCCCAGATATCCCGCACAAACCGGGTGTTCTCACCCGTAATCCTCTCTAACTTCTAGTTCTCCTGACGCATACCCTCTGTCCGAGCTTCCCTAATCAAGCTCACATGTGGAGAATCCACTGATATCCTCATACATGTCACTGAGGTAGAAGATCCGGCTGACTTGCGGCTTTGAGCATCCGCAACCACGTTCGCTGTACCAGGGTGGTAAATGATCTCATAGTCGTAGTCCTTGACTACGTCCAGCCACCTGCGCTGCCTCATGTTCAGGTTCGGCTGATCCATGATGTGTCTCAAACTCTTGTGATCTGTGTAGATGGTACAATGGACCCCATAGAGGTAATG